AAGTATGTTGTATGAACACAGTATGGTCCAAAGTGCGCTGTCGTATGCGTGCATGCTTGATGTTGTCATCATTTCGGGGATCGTATTAGAGCTTGGAGCACGCAACCAAACACTGGAGCAAATTCGTCATCAGAATGCTGGTCGTGAACGCGCGAGAGCGCATGTAATGCTAAGGATATGACGCCATCTATAATATGACGCAGCGTCCGTTTCCACCTCCGGCTCGGCGGCTCCTCCTATACCTATCCCCAGGTTCCCTGTTGGGAGCTTCTCCATTTTGAGGTCGTGGGCGGCCGGTTTGCGGCATCGGCCGAGACGCTTGTTGTCGCTGTCTGCGTAGAATCCTAACGACGTCATAGAAAGCCTTCTCGACGTTAATGCAGTTCTTGGCCGACGCTTCGACGAACTCGCAACCTAATTCCCGCGCTAGAGCATGACCTTCTTGGGTAGAAACTTCTCTTTCCGTTACCCGGTCGCTCTTATTACCAACTAGCATAATCGGTACGGCACTTGGGGGCGTTATTGTAGATATCGGCGAGCCAGGATATGTGGGTGATGCTGAGCATGATTCTTTTACCCGTTGAATCTGGTGATGAAATCTCTTGATTCGGGAAAATGATGACCGAGACGAAATACTATAAACTAATACGAAACCCTCACCATCTCGAATCCACTGGTCTCGTAAAGCTGTGTATTCTTCTTGGCCGGCGGTATCCAATACTTCCAACATACAAGCCTGGCCATCTATGACAACTTGTTTTCGGTACGAGTCTTCAATCGTCGGGTCATACTATATCATAGGAATCGTTAGCAACTGTATTCCAGGTATTGGTCGCGCGCGCAGAGTACAAAGCTAATATGGGAGCAGTCGCGAGCATAATCTACTTTTAGGGGGGCGAAAACTCACAGTTTCGACGAAATGTTGTAGACATAACTGAATTGTCAAAGCTGTTTTACCGACACCACCGTCACCGAGGACCACCAGTTTATAAAGCACCATTTTTCCCGCCATGTTGTTAACTTGGAAGCGGTCGCACAGGACCAAGTAATAATACTCTTTGTTATTTTTTTGGTTTACCAGGTGTGATGGAGAGATGGAGACGGAAGCAAAATAAAATCCTCGAGAGCTGATATATTAGACTCAGCACAGGTATAGTAGGCGAAGTGGCCAAGTTGGTCGGGCCGAAGTAGGTATTCGGCTACGTGTTGAGGTGATTTTATTTTATTAGAGGGAGAGTCGACCCAGATGAGATTGGAGGGAGAGGGGCGAGTTCAATTCGTCGGAGAGAAAGTATGAGGAGTAAGAAGAACTGTATTGATCGCAGCGACGTCCGTACTTTTTAGCTCAAGACAAAAAACGGAGAAGGAGAAGAGGGAAGCAAGGAGCAGGAGACGAGGTAGTGTTCCTTGTAGAGGATTGTGGAGAATTGAGATTTTGAGAGGGCCTGAGCTCTATGTAGAAAATTAAGCGTAGACAGGTAGGGTAGGTAAGGTAAGGTAAGGTACCTCTCTAATGTAGGGTATTGTAGGGTAGCGTATGGTAGTGCATGAGATAGGGAGATTCCAGACTCCGATTATAGTTGAGGGAACCTAGGAACCTAAGGAACCTGTAAGAAAGCTGGGATGGGAGAGGATTGGGCGAGGATTGGTAGTGCTAGGTAGTGCTGGGTTTGTTGCTAGCCGGAGGTGCGGTACAGTACCCGTTGCCGGGATGATTGATTTATTTTTTTATTTTTTATTTTTATTTTTTTTGAATTGGCGAAGCGGAGGTGGAGAGCGACCCAAAGCCAATGTTTCCCTGGCGTAGACCCTGGGGACTTTTTAATGGCTATCCTGGAGTCCTTGGTCAAAACAGCCGACCAATGAATAGCTACTATGTACTCCCGGTGTAATAGCACAGGTGGCGCTGGGAGATGGGAGAAGAGCAGAGACCACTACTATGGGACCTGGGAATTAACTTGTTAGTTAACCTGGGACCTAAGGACCGAACTTAGGGACCAAACCTAGACAAGCTTGCCAAGGGGCGAGGGGGGTAGCTCTTGTGGAGTTGACGATAAAATACACTACAGCTCGGTCGTTATATAAAGCCGTGCTTCGCAAGTCTTATTACTTTTAACCCCTTAAACTATTATTAAAACCGTTGTTGTTCGACCGATTTGTCTGTCGCTTGTTTGTCGCTATGTTACCTTGTTGACGCCGCGACGCCTCTCTGGGCTGAGCCGAGTTCCACTCAGGAACCGAATTGTAACTGAATTGTAACTGAATTGTATCGTACCCAACGTATCCAACGTGTATGTAAAAGCAAGGATCAAATCAGTAACCATTAACCTTGTCGATTTCTGTCTGAACTAATGTGGAACCACGTTGACGAGATTGAAATGATATTGAAATGCTGTCCAAAGGTAATAAGGTTGAGCATGCAAGGTTGTATTTATTCTATAATATTAAGGTACTTAATGCTAGGTTAGGTGGTTGATCATATATGATAGTTGCATTTAGACGTGGTAAAAAAAGAGAGCGGAATCATGTGCCCTTTTTAAGAGGGATGGGAAAAGAAAAAGGAAGAAGGAAGGGAAAAAATACTTTTGGTGCGGGCGTGGATGCGATGCGAATACTTTTAACGCTTCAAAACCAGAAGCGACGAGACGGTAAACTGATCCGCATTTACAGAGAGGTTTTTTTTTACTTCCTTCTCTCTGTAAAGGTACATGCATTGGAACTTAACCTTAGGTAGGTGTACATACATACGTCAAGTACCCGGATTACCTATGCGAGGTAAGTACTTAATTTAGGTACTTACCTTTAGGTATACTTTTAGGTATATCTTCAAGTATTACATATAACGTCTTGGACTAATACGACTGGACTAATACAAACCGCAACCGTAAATATCTCGACCTCATACATCTCTCTCCCGTCAATTACCACGCAATACAACTTAATCTGAAGTCATAAGTCATAGAGTGTCATAACAAACCCCGAAAGTGATGCAATCAAGCAGAACTATCAGCACGTGCCTGTCTTTACTTTTAAGTAATTTTATTTTCCTGTTTCTTCGTATTCTTCCGATTGCTTACCTTGGGTATATACTTACTCTTCTATATACCATCATCGAACTCTGCGCGATAAATCATCCTTGATTTCTTACCGAAAGGATGCATTGATTTTTCGGTGTGTCTAAGAACAAATGGTTTTTTTTTTTTTTTTTTTTTTCAACTTGGCGGCTCTTAAAACAACTGAGGCTCAACAACCAATGTGCGTACAAAAGCACAGTCTCAAACACCGAACTCTGAGCTCGAAGAGAGCTGCTGCGTCCGGTTTTCGCTGCGTCTAAAGGTGGAAATGCACTGGTATACCTTGCAATTATCGTTGCTACTATGACCGCAAGTATATCGGCGTCTCTCTCTCCCTGTAATCTGTCTCGAGGTCGCTAGGTTCCCAGGTTCACAGGTCCGGAGATACTGTCCAATACGGAATGAAAAAGTCTTTGACGGTTCTCTCGTATGACACTAGAGTTGTTCCAAGAGTAGGCATCAAAAGATAAGACAGCAGCTTATACGGCACTCGCCGAACTCGAAGACAAATGCCAGATGCATATCCTATCCATATCCCTATTCCCAACAAGTGATGCAGGTCAATCACCAAGCACTGTAGCTTTAAACAACAATTTAAACGACTGGGTTAGGTATAACTTCCAAGTCAAGTCAAGTCAAATCAAGACACAGTTCACATTTCCACAGGTCGACGATGAATCCCTCCGTCAGACTCTTTCATTCCGCAGCAATGTTACCATACCTACAGGCCATCAATAGAAACAACGAATAAGCATCGTCGCGTATCTCCTGGCACGCACTTCGGTTAGGAAGTTTTTACCCTTTTGATCGTCCACAGTCATCTTCGTCACCTTTACCATTGGTCAGCCTAGGAGAGGTGAAAGTCTACCATATACGCGGCGTATGCGTGCGGCGTAGGTAATTCACATGGAGGTATTCCATCTTAACCGTCACGCTCGCTGATCTCCAGTCACTTTCCCAATCACCGTTTTGATTACGTTTCACAGGCGCAAGGACTTTTCTCGTCTTGGCAGGACCTGGACCCCTCAAAAATTGGTGTGGAGGGGCGCGCGCCGTGGTCCATATGTTAATATGTTATGCGTACAGAATGCGTACAGAACTTAGCGGCGCTTAACTTGCGATACCGCATATGCGCAAATTCGCCTGTCGCGAATGAGTAAAGTCGTACAGATGAAGCAAGCCTCTTATGGTATAACTCTGGTATATGGCTTGTGCAGAGTTGCTATGGAACTGGTCCCCGCCTATGCCCGTGCTACTCACATCTAAACCTACTTTAGACGTTGGCCGATGTGACGAGATGCAGGGCAGCAAACTATCCCGTCTCCGATTTCTCCTTTGGGAGGGACGTCTCTATTTGGTTCTCTTAGACCTTCAGAGTTTCCCGAAGTTTAATAACTAGAAAACTACTTATTATCCCCTATAGAGATGTTTCCATTCCCAGTCCCCGGAGATTATCATCCTTAATATTCGACCTTAATATTCGACCACGGGTGGAGCGTATGAGGGTCCAGGTCTTCAAAAGGCAAAAACGGCAACAAATCTAAAGATCTATCGTTGCACCGTTTAAGTTACAGTCACTTTTAAGACCGACCATATAAGCCGAGATGTTCGACTTCGCATAGACAGTAAAATAGCCCATACGTGACGGCTCACGATCCGTCTGCTATATAGGTTCCATTATGATAAGCTATGCAAATATTAATATAGGCATCACTAAAACACCTTGTTCAAGAATCAATGTTACCATGTGCTCGACGCAATTTGCAGACTAAATTACCTACTCCCTACCCAAGTAAGTATCCTCCCCTAAGCATCGCGAAACGTTTTAAGTATGCCGCACTACCGCTACCTTCAGGCTTCTTACCTCTTGCGACTGCGATTAAATTGACAGCCTAGAAGCTATCCGGGCACCCGGGTTCGGAACCTCGTAAGCCCTCGAATGAGATTAGTTAGGTTACTAGTCATCCTCACTTGACCGTAAAGAAGAAATAGCTAGAATGATAAATCCCTGGTTTCATATTCGATCAACTAAGTATATACGTGGGTTTACGCACATTCTACTCGGATATACCGAGTCTCCTTGCTACTTCGAGAAAGCCATCTTCGCCTTGGGCAACCCATATATCAACCCATTCCCGAGCTTCCTTGTAGCGGTCTTCTTCGACGCCCCAAGCTTCTTCCCTAGGCCGCTCCACGTAGATCGTTCTAAGACCATTCGACCGTGCTGCTGCAAGGTCCCCCAGATGAGCCGCAACCATAGCCACTTCCTCGGGCCGGAACCCAAGAGCATTAGCTGCACCCAAATATGTGCTCGGGTGCGGCTTATAAGCGCCAAAGTCGGCAGTTGATATTATTCTCCGGAAACCTAGGCGCCCGTACTCGTTGAGATCCTTGAGAATGGATTGGTTGCCATTGGACAGCGTCGATGTGACGAATCGGGTTCCTAGTCGTTGGATGCCTGCCGCGGAGTCATCCCACGGTTTGAGATTGTGCCAGATCTGATTTATGGATCGCACCTCGTCGTCTGCGTAGATGCCGGACAGTCCCCATTTGTCTAGCAGTTCCCGCAGAGCGTCGTAGAAGTGAGTATCAATATCCTTCCACTCCGACTTGCCAGGCACGAATTCCCGTGTAAATACGTAGTAGGTCGTCCTCCATTCCTGTGTAAACGTGGCCCAATCGTCGTCAGTCATCGCTTTTAGGCGAGCCTGCGATGATTCGGGCAACGTGCCGAAGGTCGGAGACGTCGTCTTCTCCCGGGCACGCTTCACGAGTTCCTGGTGGACACTCGAGCGATAGTCCACAACCGTGCCAAAAACATCAAAGGTCAAGGCCTTGACATTCCGAAGCGCTTCGGGTATAGAAGTTGCCATTTTAGCCAGTTTCTATATGTCAGGTAGAATAAGAGTACTACCTACTCAATTACTATCTGTATTGAACTACCTACGACATGTGCTGATGAGCAAAGATTATCTAGTCGATGAAGTGATCCGGCCATCGGAAGGGTGGGGTAGCTGTACGCCTTTCTTGTAACCGAAAGCGAACGAAGCATATGCCGAGCTCCTCCTTACAAACCACATCCAGTCTCGATCTTCATGTTTCCCAACATGCAGTAAGTTTGAGTTGGCATATCACCAACATCGGCTTTTGAACCGCAACTTACATTTATTCATCTAACTGCGGTATTATGACGTCCTCTTGGATGAACACTTCACTCGTTGATGTGGTGTTTTATATATTATTCTCTAATACCTACTGTGGACGAATTAAAATATTTTTCTAATATTATGTTGCAGTGCTGTAGTATTGTCGTTACTTAGGGTTGCAGTTAATTCTACCACCAAACCCCTAGGAAACTTCGTCATAAAATCTTCATACCTTATAATCGCCAACATTTCTATACTGTATTAGCCATAACAGACGCTTTGCACTGCTATACCGGACCAGCTACTCCATACGGACATATATTCTTATTCTTATTAGTAAGCTCCCTTCTTACTGTAATCGAATTCTGCCATCTCAACTACTTTAACTGAGATTTAACAAAACTCTCGGTATTGATAAAGCTTCATATATTCATTCAGCAATGAAATTCTACAAACAGGTATTTGGTTATTGTAAAATATCTGTCCTACGTCATTACATATGTTTCTTCATGATAGTGTCAACTCTACCGGCCGTAGTTGATGTCAGGATTCTAGATGAGACATCCAGAACAAAGAACATGTATATACGAGCCGTGGGCTCGCTAGATAGGTTAGAGTTCCTCGCGGAACAACGAAGTGTTGCTTCCATGCTGTTTGGTTCCACCTCGTGACAGTTGAGGAGATGATTACAAGCGTATTAACTTAAGAAGCAAATATAGAGGAAGCTGGTCTTCTACCAATTAAGGACATCCAAAGAAATGTATCTACGCGACTAATAACTCCCTATTTAGTTTAACTTATAAGTAAGAGAACTTCTATAATATGTCTGGGTTTAACTATAGCTTACTTCCCACTGGGTCGTGTGCCTGAATTGGGGGTTATAGGTGAAACCGGATACCATTGACACAACCTAGGTTTTAGAATAGACGATATCTTGCAATAGTGTTGACGTCCTCTGCATGGCTTTCCCCTTCTACGTTTACCCATACGTACGCTCCCGTTGAGAATAGCAGTGCCCCAATACAGAAATAAATGGTATTATTCTTTTAAGCCTTTCTTCGATTGTGCGTAGTTCTGGCCAGGGACTATATCGAAATTCGAAAATTTCCAAGACGAGTATACTTGGGCGATCATGCTACTTACAGTTTATCTGCGACCACGATTGATAGAGGACGGACATTGTAAAACAAAGCTTGGAATTCGCCTGGATTTCTTGACTTTATCGTGGTAGTAAGTATGTGGAAGGTTTCCTAAGACGTACTTCCTATTTCTAATAGGTTTAGGAAAGGTGCTCTACTAAACTAGACCTAGGTAGTAATCCTGTGATGTCTAGGGGAGCCTTTATCGAAAACAAAGTCAAAGATTTGTCTACTGTTATGTAGAAAACGAGTATAGTGTAGCATATTCTTAAGCTTACCTTCATTGATAAGGTATATAGTAGGTTTTACTCGCAGAATCTTCAAATAAAAGGAATAATGACATGTCCCTTTATCATTGTCATCGACGAATCGGGATTAACAGAGGGTTTATACAAATCCCTAAGGTGATATTACGAGTAAGCCCAGCCACGAGAACTCAAAAAAGCATTTGCGGTGGTTTGCAAGGCATGGAAATGCGCAACTGGTTTCCAGCTTTCCCAAGATATGTATGTATTTGGATTACCTAGTATCTATTTGGTACCGCAACGCACGGCTCTGCCTTAGACATAGTCATTTGTTAGTTGAACCCGGGTATCCATCCCGTAGCGTTTTCTAACAGGTAGTTATGTGGCGGCTACTCCTAGTCAAAGAGCTGAAGCCATTTGAGGCTGACAAGTTCGTACCTCATCTCCCCAACGCGAAAACTCAAGCCAACATGAAAAAAACTGTTAGCTGTCTATCGGATCACATCTCCCGCGTACCATATTGTACATATAACTGTAATATCAACGTCTTGCTAGGGATGCCGTGCGCTAATCTCACGTTCTTAATTAAAGCCACTCTTGGGCTAGAGCCAGCCGGATGAAATTGCAAATTCGAAAGTTAGGTACGAATGCTGTGGCTGCCGCGGGATCATACGTTCTGTAAGCAATAAGTCTAACGCCCTGGAAGGTCTGGTGTAGCCTCAACTGAGGAAACCATGGTAGCTATATAATAGCCTTTCGGGCTACCGGTATATGGGGCCGCATAGGGCGAGATCGACGACACGGTTGATATGGCTCCACCCACGGCTTATTATTGTGTATTATACATATACATACACTACACCACGCATGATCTTAGATCGAGATGTCGATAGGGACGCGTGAAGGACTTGGCATGCAGAAAAGTTTACGAACTCTCATTTTAGTTACCGAATATAAGTTCGTATATACACCCAGTCATATTGGTCCTACGTTGTTCAAGTAGCCTACGAAAATTCGTCGTGGGACAAGTAATGATAGGTAGCTAATCAGGGTTTATTTATACATAATGCACAATCCGCCAAGCTGTCACGATTGTGATGATAATTACCAAAATGCCGTAGTCTAGCTTTTGGATTGACTTGCTAGGTTTGAAGCACCGAGGTTCGTCTTAATTCGCCGCACCTCGGATGACATAGCCAGCCAACCAACATCCAACATCCAACCAGCCACGAAGTCTCAGGTAGAACTGTCTAATTACACTAGAGAGCGCCTCTCAACCGGCCACTCATAAAAAGATAAAAAAGCGGCCCGTATACCTAATCTGACGCGTTAGCTCTTACCAACGACCGAGACGATTCCTGGTCTAGATCGTGCAGTAGTGGTGTTATGCTTATTGCTTTCGAGCACAGTCCAGCTATATTACCTCCCGTTATGCGGAGATAATTGAGCCTCAGCGTTCCCTTGCGTTAGAACCTTAGTAGCACGCTTTCCGGATACCGTACACACATGGACTTATCTTCTCGATGACGGACAATCCACTAATATCGACAATGACAGAAACCTCCTTGATTGGAGTCCGGGCTGTGATATACCTACCTACCTACGTATATGTTTTGCGTGGAGGACCAGCCATTCAATACTCGAGCCAGTTACGAAGGTTGGGTTAAGTACCTACCTGTTAAAGTGTCTGTCGCAGTTAAACTTTTATGTCTTTCGTGGAAAAATGGCAAGAGAAAAATCTGGGGTAATACCTACATAGGTGGCTGGCTAAGAGGTACCGCAGCTAATAAAAATAATGTAGGTGTTGCAAATCTCGGTTATGAGCCTATAGGCGTACGGTAGAAGTTAACACGCAGAACACGGCACGCAATATCAGGTATGAGGAGCTAATCTGCCGTCTACCTACTGTTAATTCTGTGATCATATGCAAGTGCGTTGAAAGTGGCACAAGCCCCGAGATGTGATTCTCCTTGCATACACGGAGAGCCGATCGCATTCGAGGGCGGGTGAGTGGAGCACCAACCAGCGACTTGTACACGCGTGTAGGAGGAATTAGCCGGAAGTGGTCTTTGTTTCCTTTTCCTTTTTTCATCTTGTTTTGGCGGGTGGGATTTTCCAAGTTTTTTCTTCTTCTTCTTCTTCTTCTCTCTTTGGACCAACCGAAACCATGATACATATACCTAGCGTGGCTGTTGGCTGTGGCTATTTCTCCCGCCGTTGCTCTGCGAGTGGGACTTCATCAAAGCATGGGTACCTATGTTTGCTATCAAAATCTCCCGTTCGTACGATTAAAGGCTTATCAAAAGCTGACGAAAGCCTCAATTGGCGTTGGCTCATTTCTGATAGTGAGAGGACCCCAGACTGTCGGGAATATTCTCGAAATTCTTCGGGGATCCTGACCGGCTGTGATGAGGTAGGTTGCTAAGTTGCTAAGCCGTTAAGTTTCAGAAGATCCTAGTGAGAGCTCATATTAAGCCCGATATCCCAATTTAGCATTGTGATAATCCGTAGACGTAATGGGTAAGATAGTCCGTCAAGTTTAGCTAGGAAGTGACTGAAGGTCCACGTAGTAGTTCTGCTACTGTCCTAGATCTTGGAACAAGTTGGGCTTCTGATCCTACTACTACTGTAATTCAAGCTTGGCGCCCGAATCGTCGGGGACGCCATGTTCCGCCTCGGTCAGCTAAAACTGGCGTGATATGTATGTAAAAGGCTGAAAACAGCACTATTAATGGCACTAGGGCTAGTTGCGCGTTTTTACATTGGGTATTTTATTTTATTTTTGATCATTTCCTATTGCTTGATTGTAGGGCCTTGGGCACTTGGGGTGGGTAGGTATTTACAGTGTATTTGGCGATATGGCAGTACTAGACGGCTCATTAAAGCTCCTCGTGTAAGGATGGAGAGGAATATATCAAGTCTATTATTACATACCTAACATATGTATGTAGTAACTAGAAGATTAAAGCCGTTCCAAAGTATGAAGAAACCCGTTTCTTCTCGGCTCTCCGTATATGTTTAGACCTTGCTAGCGGCGTGGAAACACGTGCTTTACTTTTCCCCCTGAAAAGGTCATGCATGGGTAAGGCTTGGGTAAGAATTGCTTTGGTTGATCATCGCAAAGCAGGGTTGCCTTTTTCTCCAGACCGGGGTGATGCAGGTCCCGTCACGTCGGTCACCGTCGCATCCGACTTGTCAATGGAAGGGTGATTTTGTCGGGTTCTCTGCATCGATTGCGCCTGCGTCTGCGCGGATGTCGCCCTATGTCGTCCTTGAAACATGTGAAGTCGATACCGATATGACAGGTAAGGTAAGTCTCCTCGATACTTGGGCAACGATATGTTTGGGCAGCCTCAGAAATATTGCCTTAGAACCCGACCTATGTACTGCGGAAGGGGCCGAGATTCACCTGTCAAGTTTAATAGGC